TCTGGGCTACAACCTGGCAACACCGAATTGCGGAACGACCCTGCATGTTGTAACATGCTTGGTTGGACGTGGAAACGGTGTGGCGAAACAAATGGTTGCGGGACATGCCTCTGCACATCAAGCTTGATGTACTGTATAAATCCTGATGGCTGTATATGTGTGGATAGGAACAGTGCCTGTTGTCATGTACAAGGTGCTGGGGCAAAGCTTCATCATGTTGCAGCTAATGTATCCAAAGCTAAATCAATATGAAACACAGAGTATGGATAATCACTTAGATGTTACTTAACGCTATTCTAGATGAGCTTGCTGCTCTGGTTGGGCTGCACTCTGGCCCTCTTCAAGAGGGTTTGTGGCGCAGAGGCGCAAACTCAGCTGTTCTGAACGCCAGTATCCTTTGTCTGGTGCATGCACCCCAGGTGCAAACATCGGTTGATGACCTCCAGAACACACACATCATGACGCGTCCGCATTCCCGATGGAGGGCAACCCGCACCCGACTTTGGCTATTTGCCATCTCTCCTTTCAAACCGCACAGCGCTGTTTGCCCTGCGAAAACTTGTCTCATTGCTCATTGGCCAAATGCTAATTCGCTGCTGGTTCATTGCTAATGCACTGCCAATTCATTATTTATTCAGTATCATTGATTCATTGTGTTCATTATATTCATAGTATCATGCTCATTATGCTGATTCATTAGTGAAACATTATTCATTGCTCGTGTCGTCTGCCAGGAGCAGCGCAGGCAGAACTTCCTGCAGGTCCTCATGCAGGAGATCGGCTGCGGCCTGGAGATCGCGGGCGAGGGCCTGGCGCGGGCTGGCCATTGCGTCGGCAGCTTTCTGGGCCGCATTGGCCTCTGGCTGCGCGTCCTGGCGGGCGGCAAAAACGACCCCGAATTCGACTGCTCCGCGGAGCTCGGCCTCAGCTGCGCCGACAAGATCCTGGGCATGACCATGTGCTTCGCGCTCGTGGTGATGGCCGTGCTGGTGGCCAAGCGCCTGGGCGCGATCAGCGTGCTGCCTCGCCGCTGAATCGACGGCCCGCCGAGCCCGAACGACGGCCGCGAAACGACTGTTTGCGCGGCGTTTTGCCGACCGCGCCTTTGTACATCATGAGGAAGATAAAACCGGGGAGGGGTGGGGGTGGGGGGGCGGCGGGGAGTTCGCCAAATTTCAGAGGTTGACGGGAGTTCCGGTGGAGCGACGCACGGTTGGGCCCCAGTGGGCCCGGCCCCTAGGGAGTGGGTCGCCTGACTATGGGCAGTGGGGGGAAGGATCAGCCCAAACCTTTTCCTTTGTACCAAATTGAGAATTGTTTGTGGAGCACTTGCCAATTAGGGTTGGGGGTCATTTATCGCCGGGGATGACGCGCAGGCGGGGGAGCCGCCCGCGCCGTCCCCACCGTTTGAGAGTCCCACTGAAGCGATTGTACAATATGGATGCGACATTTGCCCTCGGTTAGAGGCCGCCGGGCGCGGGGGCGCGCGGCTGGCGGCCGTCCCATTCAGACGAGCAAAGGACGTTGTTAGGAGCGCGTGGCGTGTGTGTGAGTGCGGCTGAGAAGACAAGAAAATTCAGGGTCGACTCAGCGAATTTGAGAATTGAAAATTCTGTTATTAATGCATGAGGCTGTGGAGAGAACAAGTCGAGAAGAGGTCGAAGAAGGAAGTTTAGGAGAAGAACTAGTGTTGTGATGTTCGGTGCCGTACCAGACGTTTTGTCGTGTGTATTTGTAACGTGAAGAGGGCCCTCGTGCCCCTGTCCTTTGAATATGTTGAGGTCTGAGGAGATTAGGAGACGCGTGGCGCCCACTGCGAGGCCTCTTCTGTCTTTAAGAGCAGTTCGGGTTGCTGACTGTAAATTTGCGTGCTGTCTGAAGGACCCACTGCGTGTCGGCTCCATTTTCTCCTGCGGTACTGGCCCTATTCTCGCATTCATTGAGCGCATGCTGCGCAGCAGGGCCCAGCTTCCAAGATAGCGCAGGAAGTGCGCTCCTGAGATCATCCGCAGTGGTCTGCGTCGGGCGGCCATTCCTTGTGGAGCTCATCATCATCATCAGTTTTAACGGAGTTGTCACTGTTCTCGGTGGCTAACAGGCTTCGCGATAGTGCAGCATCTCGGCCTAATCGCCACGACGTGTCCATCATCACCCCCAGAACATATTAGTCCCTCTGTCTTTTTCGTGTGGATCCCTTCTTCTTCCGCTGACAAGGCAAACCCCGGCCAGTGGGTCAGTGGGACAGGGTTTTTAGGATTCAGGGTTTTAGGGTTTAGGGTTTGGGTTTTAGGGTGCCCGCAACAAGATGGGATCAACACGGAAAAGTCAGAGCGACTAATTTCATGCCATCGTCCTGCTGACTCGATCCGACCTATCTGGCGTCCGCCACCCCCAGCTTCCCCGATAACCGATATGAAACAAAGTTGTGTCGAGGCCGTCACCCGCTTACCAAACCTTCACGACACCAGCCATGGTCGGCGCCGGAAAAGAGAACCGGACACCGCTTGAGGCGCCCCAAGGTGGCCGGCGTGCCACCCGCAAACCCGCCAGGCTTTTAGAGGAGCTGGATGCCGAGCCGATCGGCAACGGGCATCGGCGGGGGCGCGGGAGGAAACGGAGGGCGTTGGGGCCGCCGGTGGGGCGGGATCCGCACGAGGCGGCGGTGCGGAGCGTCAACGGCGACGTGGGCAAGATCCTGTGGTTTCAGCACTCGCTGGCGTCGTTTCTGAACGAGGGATGGGGAGGCCGGCGGTGAGATTTGTTGTGCGTCGAAAGGAACGGGTCGTGCAAAGGGCACACCCTCCCAAGCTGAGATGGGGAGGGCAACGGTGGGATTTGTTACATTTAATCCTGCATGGCCTGTTTTGGCAGTTTAGCTTCAAAACCAGGTCCTGCAAAGGGGAACCCCTTCTGAGCTAAGATGGATACCGGAGATGCGCGAGGCCGCTGCGAATCAAGAATTCAGTGATTAAAACCAATTGAAGCAGCCAGGTCCTATTGTCTGTGCCCAGCCATGACGTGGTAGAGCAGAAGGCGGAGATGGAGAGGGCAAGAGAGGAGATCGTGCGCCTCGAGGGGGCGATCAGGGTATGTGTGGCGCGGTGTGAGGGGGCCGATGGTGATCCACGGAATCCCGAAGCTGCCTTTACGGAAGATGGGGCCGGCATCTTTGGGGCAGTGAGGTGCTCCCGATGTGGCGGGACAGAGTCGGATGAGGTGTGCTGTGGGCCCTCTGATAAGAGACTGCTGCCAATTGGATCAACATCAGTGGACAAGATGGGGAATACTGCCAGAATACGATACTACCACAACCAAGCACGTATTTTGGGGTTGCAATTGCTATCAAGCTCATCATCTCAGAGTTTTGGCACAGGTCATCACATTTGCAGTTGTAAAGTCATGACAGATCACTGCCCAAATCCCCGTATGCGATGAGTTCTGACAGAGATGAAGAGCATCATTCCCAAACGACATCTCGTCATACCTCACAGTAACTGCGTCCCATTGCCTGCACCTGCCTGTTGCCTGTTCTCAGGGATCCAGTGGAAGAAGTTGACTGACATAAATGTGTGTCGTCACAGTGTTAGTGGCAGTGAAACTGTGCTGCAATCTGCTGGCATAGTAATATTAATGCAGTACCGCTGCACCACATGCCACTGCACTAGTGCACTATACCGTACAGTGCTGTCCTCAGTTCTGCAGTTGCGAATGTAACACCAGCCCCGATGGCTGAGTTGTCTGAAGAAATTTACACCTTTCCCTGCAGCCCAATGAGATGGTGCTCTGCGATGGTCTGCGCAGTGATGGGGCATGTCGGAGGGCCTACCACCGAAAGTGCCATATGCCATACATCACCGATTCGGATGTGGACAAGGAAACATGGCATTGTGCGGCGTGCAAGGCAAAGGTAATCGGCAATCACTATGAGAGAATCCTATTAGTATTATAGAATCTTTTTAGACACCATTCATGTGACATTTTATATCTAAGTAATTCTGTGTTGCATTGAAATTCTGAAGTGAACTGTGTTTTGGATGGAAGATTTTTGGTGAGTCTGTTTGTGATAGAAGGGGGGACTTGTCTTCTGGACATATTGTGTGGTCAATAAATAAAATAAAAAAATACAGACATAGGGTGTACCAGTAGTATTCTAATATAGATTATTTACTAGTTTACAACAATTATGTAACATATGTGTGAAATTGCTGTTGCCTGAAACCAGGATCTCGGTTGCTACCTACGCTGGACACTGTGGCTGAACTGGACAAATTTGTGTATCGCAGAACAGAATGATCGGTATTCTGAACAAAGCATTCGAGTCGCACTACACCATGGCGACAGATCCGATTGATTTGTTCGCGGAAACCGATGAGCAATGCTCCTGGCAAGGAGAAGCCGATGCGCCAACCGTCGCTGCAAGTATCCAGAGTGACATATCATCATCATCATCTTCTGGAGAAGATTACAGGTATTGTGGTGCTCGATGAAACTTGGTGAGGGGCAAAAGAATTTTGTGCACATTCGATTGAAGTTTCGTTGCCAATTTGGTTGTGTTAGGTAGGCGCATTAGGACAAGCTGTCCATTCATCACTATCTAGCCTTTTGGTCTGTACAGAAAATGCACATGTGTTGAATCCGCACAGACCCCAGAATTTGTCAGTTTATACTTTCTTCAATTCGTGGCTCTGATGAATTGAATGGTACCTTATTGCTGCAACGGATTCTCTTGGTCTTATACTGTATCCTGGCTTTTTGACACATCTGCAAACCTGATCACTGTGTGCCTTCTTTCTTTGCGCAGACTTGACAATAGCAGCGACGAAGATGGCCAGTCATGTCTGGATGATTCATCGTCATTCTGTGACACAGATGGCACTGATGTCTGTCCTGAGGTAAGCTGTAAAACTCAATATAGCACCAAAATTTCGACGTTACAATCTACAAGTGTTGTCCTCATATTAGAGTGTGTATTTTGCAGAAAATGTGCTGTTGTGGTGAAACAATCTCGGCCTTTTGGAGAAAGACGGGAGCTGGAAATGGAGTGATGTTCCATGCATGTCTGTCAAGACATCCGCCAAAATTTGAAAAACCACGAACAAAACAAAACTGCTGGTATTAATCCCTGTGATCGTAAACAAACGACTTGCATTTTTTGTGTGCAGGGGCCCTGTCTGAGATGGCCACCTCGTCAATCACTGATGACTCGCCCAACTTCCACTTCAGGGAATCGGCGAAAAGCCGTTGATTACGTGTTGCAGGATCAAAAACTCTCCGGAGACGACGCCAGCGACCTTGACGAGTACTCGTCCAGTGACCCAACCACAGAAGAGGGGACACCACGGGAGGAGACCAGCATAGATGACTCATCTAACTGATGCAATTCTTTCTATGCCTTTCATTCATTTTATGCGTTTGTAATCCATTGTTGTTTTTGTTAATCGCTGTCCTTGAACGTTGAATACGCTGACTCATGTGCCTGACTCATGTGCCTGACTCATGTGTATCTATTATGAATCCATTTGAATACAGTGCTCCACTGTCCCAGCTAATGGCCTGTGTGCCTGGCCTTGCTAAACACGGCGGCGGAATCTTCCCTGGCATCCGAGAACCTTGGGGACATGGGTTGGAGGCGTCCATGTCAGCGTGAAATTCCTTGAGTCGTTTACATCAATTCGATTGCTGTCATGGACGTCCGTTGCGCACAGACGGCAACCTCGGGGTCATTGCTGCACAGAAAACCTTGCTCAGGACGGTTGCTCATTGTGTGCTGTATTCCCTTTCCACAGTCAAGACAATCTCCCAGCTCCCATCGTTGCTGATGCAGTCCCGCATTTTTTGCCCGTGCACGAATGTGGCTCCCCACTGGACATAAATGCAATGCATTTCACGCAAGGCAATGTACGCTGAAACAGTTTCTGACCCCGATTCGGCTGCGATGATCCACGCCAAAAGGCGGCTCGGCCCCCCGACGCCACGCACCCCTCCCAGACACGAGCTCAAATCCAATTCTGCGAAATGCGGTACACGCTCCCGAAAGGAAGAAATCCGCACCCTACCCAAACAATGAATAAATGTACAGCGAGAATGAATTAAAACGCCTGAAATGGGGTGCACTTGACCCACACAACCGCCCTCGATCTTGGCTGCCCACCACGCCTCTCCCACTCCTGGGGCCTCGCCGCTGACAGTCACGCGCGCCACACCACACGGGCGCCGCCACAGCCTCCACGCCCTTGAGCCGCCATGCTGCACCCCCGCCGCCAATAAACCCCAGCCAAATCTTCGAAATCGACCCCCCCCGCAGCGAAAATGCTCGCCGGCCATGGCCGTATCGCTCGGCCCCGGCCGTTGATCTGGTCGCCTGGCCGCCGCTTCCGGATGGGTGCGTCGATGCCGCTTCGCCGGACGCGAGGCTGCTCGCAGATGGCTCCAGCATGCCGCGGATACAGCAGACGCGGCGGGAAGCGGTTTTGGCGCGGGGCCGGCGGGCTGAGGGCTGTGGGGCTTAGGCGGGCGGCGCCGGAGAGGCGCGGGGGAGTCGCGAGGGCTGAAGGGCGCGCGGAAGATCAGGTGGGGAGGGGAGGGACTGGGGAGGGGGAGGAGGCAAGATTTGTTATAAAGAGAAGCAGAAGCTGGTCATGCAAAGGCTAAACCCCCCTAATCATGTGTATGCGAGACTCTTGTGAACAGAAAGGGGGCGCAAGGGGGGGAAGGGCGCCGGGGGGATTTGCCGCAGAAAGAAGGGGAGGTATGTCCTCTAAAGGGCACCCCGTCCTGGGCAGGTGGGGTGAGGCTCTTTTCCTTGCTGGGAAAGGTGATATAGAGTCTGCCAGTGATGGCGAGCACAGTAATGAATGACGAGCACACAGCCCAGGCAACACAAAAAGGCAAGAAAGGGGAAAAGGAAAAGGTGGGGTGGGTGGGCGAGGGGCCATTCATCACTGCACATTGGCCAGAGAAGGACAGTGCTGTGCACACTGGTATCAATGTGACCCGAGAAAATGCTGCTTTCGGCATGCCTTGCTATATCTGGATTGGCATGAACTGTGCCATTTTTTGTAGGTAGAGTGGCATCATTGCAGTTCTTAGAAAACTATTGCAGTGAAGGAGAGTTTGTGCCCTTCCTGCATTTCTGCAGTCGCTTATGGTTTTGTCATCCTGACACAAGCTTCCTTAGTCTGCAGCAATCACTTATGGCTCTGATCGGATGACACACCCTTTCCCATGCCACGTCACGAGCATTCAGTGGCATTCAAGTCTGAGCATTTTGGTTCATGTTGTGACGAATACTGAATTACAACATCAGGGTTCTTCCGCATATTCCCAAATCTGCAGCTTGGCTTGGATCGCAACAATGGCATGCGGTCAACAATGCATATCCATCACATGGGTGTGTGTCTTGTTCCATGTTCTCTTCTGCACAACTCGATAAGCACGAGAGACATGGCCATCCTGTTATCCCTTTTGCCATTCATGCCTCTGCGTGGGATGGTACATTGCAACGGATTCACCAGCTTCACTGTCTTGGTTCCATTTCTACTCTTCCGTTCTTTTGCGATCGTCCATCGAACAGCAGTCTGCTTTTTCTGCTACTTTGTTCGTGAATGCTTCTTGCCATCGTGACACTTTAGGAACCTGCCAGACTGCTGCCCTACAAGGAGCCCGATGAGTCCCCGAGCGAGCTTGTGCTTGAGCGTGGGAGTCCAACGGGCAGCGTCCTTGACTTGGTCCGCAGCACCCTGGGGGCCCTGGTTGGCAGTCGCGAAGCACAGGGATTGGATGTGGATCTGCCTGAGCACTGGAGGGACCAGATCAAACAGTTGTCAAAGGGCAAGCGCCGGCAGCTCCAGAGGCAAGTCAGCTTATGGGTGTCAGTCCGAAAATTGGTTAATGACATAGTCTTTGAGAGGTCAAGTGTTATCCTGCATGATCAAGCATGGAATCGAGCACCTGCCCCCAAGGACGAGCAGAACCATCCACAAGGCACATTCTCCAAGGGCTGTCAGCCCTATGACTTGTTACTGTGAAGCACAGTGACTTTGCAAAACCGCCTTCAACAGCATGGCGCAAGAGCAGTATGGCAATACACTAGATGATGGCATGGTGACACAGTGCTGCAGTTATATGATGACACAAGCATTGACAGCGAGGAGCTGCTTTGTGCTATGGAAGCCGTTTCATACCAGTCACTGTCATGCATTCAGGCCCTGTTGAGTTACAAAGCTGTGTTCGTTTTGCAGCATTGTGATGCATTGGTGAGTTGATGCATTGACTATCCACAGGTACTATGAAATTGTTGAACAGATCAATGCCCTGGAGAATGGCTTCATGGAGATGACTGATGCGCAACTCAGAAGCAAGACTGGTAGGGTGCATTGCCTTGCTCCAAGAGTGTGCTGGGAATGCATGCCCTATGATTGATGCGGGAGTTTGCCTCCACTGATAGTGCAGGCACAACCAGAACAGACGCTACCAGTCATAGTCACTGGATCCCATTCATTCATGGAGATCATTGGACACAGTCACATTGAACAAGTGACACAAGTTCTCCAGTGACTAAAAATGGAAACAGCTGGTGTGGCTCTCCCTACTGCTGTTTCTCCTGGATTCACCGGTGCCGATCTGCAGAAATGCGATTAAGATTGGCGTGCACAAGAACTTCACAGGAGGTTTTGCAGCATTTTGAAGTCATGCACTGACTGCTCCTCCCCCATCCAACCAGATATGTTCTTGCACTGCTACGTTACTCCTGAAATTGTGACTGTCGATCGCAAATAGTTGTGTTGCAGAGGTATGTCTGATAGCTATCCTGGATCAAGTGCAGAAGGTGTCCAAATAGAACTTGTGCATCGACCATTGCTCAAACAAATTTGATGCTGTGTTGTCCTGCCAGACGTGTTCAGGGAGCGCGTGGCGGCAGGGGAATCCCTTGAGTCCATCCTGCCGGAGGCCTTTGCCTGTGTGAGGGAGGCATCCAAGAGAGCACTGGACATGCGGCATTTTGACTGTCAGATGGTGGGTGAGTGTAGTCAGCTGGGTCACGTTCTTGTCCACCAATGTTGCTCAAGTTGCCCGCTGTATATCGGTCTCTGAATGGTGTGGCCATTTGGCTCCCTTGCTTCACGCTATCACAGTACATGATCTTTTGCTCATGATCCTTCTTGCCTCCAAGTCTAGCTAACTTTGCAAAGCAGCTGAGGAGGAAGGTGGTGAAGTACTGTAGTGGGAAGAACCGGTTGGAATATGAAAAGTGCTGTCACAGCAGCGGTCTGTATCCCTGACTGCGCATGCGTCTGAGAATTTGTTGCTCTCAACGGCTGGACGCACAGCCACTGCAGCAGTGAGCAATTTAGCAAATGGCTGCAAAAACCTCTGAATATGCTGATATATGCTGAAATACGCTGAGTATACTGGAAACTCGATTGCAAGCCAGCATTGAGTACACTTCTCAGGAAATGACAAAGCGCAGCCCTTGCCATTAGGCACGCCTTGGGGAGTCGTTATATCTTTATTTACCATTATTACGTTGTTGTCCAGCTTTGCTATTACTTTCAGTGAATGCTGGACTGTCGGCTGCCTCCCAGGTTGGTGGTATTGTGCTGCACGAGGGAAAGACCGCTGAGATGGACACAGGGGAGGGCAAGACATTAGTGGCCACCCTGCCTGTTTACCTGAATGCATTGACAGGAAAGGGTGTCCACGTTGTGACTGTGAATGAGTACCTTGCCACAAGGGATGCACAATGGTGAGTCTATCCTTTTCCTCTCACCTTCTCTCTCCCACCTCTCTGTAGGCCTGAAATGCCCATGTTGCTCTGAACAGCCTAAGTTTGTTGCCATGCCTGACTTGCAGGAACATCTCGCGCCCCAAACTGTTTTGCTCCAGACACCAGTGCGCTGAAAATCAAAGAGCGGAACCATGCATGTTGGGCATTGTTTGCATCCACAAGCATCTGTTCTCTAAGTACTTTTGTCCCATCTAGTGTGAATCGAGTGGGCGATGCTGTATGGGCAACAGAGAATTCCCCCTCAGGATCTTGTGCGGCCCCATGTTGGCCTGGAGGTGCATGTTGTTGCGCAGCATGAGCAGCTCACCATCTAACTTGCGCACATCTGGCATGCCCACCTGTGGTGCTCTACAAGAATTGCAAACGATGACGGGCCGTCACAGACAGTATCTAATGAGCCGATCTCATGTGCAGGATGGGCAAGATCTACACCTTTCTGGGCCTCACTGTGGCAAGCGTGAAGGAGGAGATGGACTTGCGCGAGAAGAAGACTGCCTACGCCAGTGATGTGATCTATGTCACAGCCACGCAGCTGTGCTTTGATCACCTGCACGACTGCTGTGCCACGAGCGCTGAGCACATTGTAAGGCAACCAAAACAAATTTCTTTTCTCAGATGCTACATGAATGTGGGCACAAGCTTGAACATTGTTCAGCATTGTTTCTTTGTTTTTTCTGTTGATTTCCGTGTGGCAGCTCCTCTTCATGTGTACAATACTCATGATATTTAGATGCAATACTTACATTACATTTGCTTTGCCCGATGGAAGCCCAGCACTTTTGCCCCTGGGACAGTCCAAGTCCCCAGAGGGGCCTGCCTTATTTGAAGTGAGTTTTCCTGACTGGAACAACCTTCTCTATAGCAGACAACATAATTGTCAGTGCACATACCTTGCACTATCTCGATGACGAGCATGATTTAGAACATCTGGTAGTCTGATTCGCATATGCTCTCTCCAATTTCTCTTGTTTCTTCCACCTCCTTCACGTTGTGCAATTGGGTGGTGCAGAGCTAAGATCTTGGGACGTTGGGAAACGCTGGTTGGATGTTTATGCCCATGTCATCACCTGGAAGGTGTGTGGGCTTTGCTTGTCAAGGATTGTTGGCAGTTACGATCAACAGAGTTTGAAAATCTTGTGTCCACACACAAAGCACCAAGTTGTCTTCACATCATGAACAGGCCTTGGGAGAGCTGAACTACGCGATTGTGGATGAAGTTGATTCCATCCTGATTGATGAGTCTCGGAACCCCATGATCCTGTCAACAAAGTCAAGGGAGGTCCTTGACCGGGTTGAGCTTGCGGCAGAGGTGGGGTTCTCAATAGTCACAGCAAAATCCCAACTCACACGAAATTGAGTCGATCTTCAGTGTCACAAGGCACCAGAGCATGCACATGGCCACAGCACCACTCATGAGGGCCACATTGAGCTACATGTGCTGTATTGTGTCGTATTGTGCTGCACTGTGCTGTTTTGTGCTGTTTACTGCTGTGCTCACTGCAGCACTGTGCCTGAGCTGTGCCCCAAGAGCACATCCATTGATGGTTGAAATGTATTTGCCCTTAAACCAGCAGACTGAATTCCCAACCTGCAGCAGTGAGTGTTGTATTGAGCAACCTTCACTTTTCCATGCATGTGATGTGAACAAGATGTTGTGGTGGGCAACAGATTCGTAGTGCGCATTATCAAACATCCATCCAAAGAATGGCAACAGCTCAGATTTGCTTGAGAACACAGTCACTGCATTTGGAACTCTGATGCAAGAAATGTCATCACTGCTGTGTTGCTCCGGTGGCAACAATGTGCACGTTGTTGTGACACGCTGTGCAGCTGTTCGCAGTCTTTGTCCTCTTCCCTCCCCTTGATGGCCTTCGTGTATCCGTTCCCTCCTCCTGCCCTGCTTCCACCAGACCAGAAAAATATAAACAATTGGATGACCAAGACCAGGAGCGAAAAGCATGGGCTTTCTGGTGCTGCGTCTCTGACCCTTATCCCATGCAGGTGTGCCATGAGCTCCTCCACGAACGAGGCTACGGCAAGGTCAACAGGCTGCTTGAGCTGGCAGACGCCATTCATGCTGGCAGGCTGCCCACAACGCTGCGCAGCTCACCCAACGTCCCACGCATGCAGCTCCAGATGGTGTCAGAGGCCCTGGCAGTGCTACTCGATGTGCTGGTCAGCGGGCCAACCCACAGGTGACTATTATTGAGTTGCAAAATATTCGTGACGAAAGTGCCCCTTTTCACCTTGGGCGATGCTGGATGCTATTCACAAGAACAAACTTTATTGCCTCTAAAGTCCTGTTCTCTGGTTTGTCTACAGATTGCTTGTTTTGTCTGGGTCTTTTCAGGAAAGCTGCTAAAGAATATCGAACAGAAAGTGGTGAAAAATAGCATGGCAATCACCACTACATCGATGGAGCAGTTTCAGAAAGTTGGTGAAACAGGAATCGAGCGTTGTGAGTTTGAGTTTTCTGTGCCCAGTTTGTCAATGGGCAACAAGCAACTGGGCTTTCAGTCTTCCTGAGTGTGGCCGGCCTATGAGTGTGAGTGTGGTGGGAGGCATGCATGCTGCAAATGCTGCAGTGTTGTTTGGTTTGTCACACATGACAACAGAAGTCCCTCTTTCTTTGTCCATCCATTCTTGGTAGGCCACGCCGACAGTGCTGGCCCCTTGGGTGATTGAGATTAGTGGCTTTGAATGTGTTTGGAGGTCTACTGACACAGGACAGAGACACTGCACTTCCCACTTTTGACACTCTCTTTAACATTGTCACGCATCCCTGCACACAGGCTTCACTGAATGCATGGTTCAGTGCTGTGTCAGGCATTCTTGTTCCACTCAGCAACGCCCGCATTGTCTCCCACAGTATGAAAATGGTCTCCCGCAAAATGTCTTACTGATGAAGGGTGGTGCCCACTGTGTGGCAAGTTATAAACTGGCACACACACCTGTGGGCGATCTGGACCAACATGTGATGCAATGTTCTACAATGGAAGTGACTGGCACGCAGGATGCCCAACCTTAAGCGTCTACCAGACTTGGCGGACATTGAGCGGGTGAGGGCGGGAGTGCTGCGAGGGGACCCCGACCTCACGCCTGTGGCCGTATATATGCTAATGTACTTGAGAGCAGAGCTGAAGGGCCTCCGGGTGTACAAACCTGACATCCATGCCAAGAAGGTCACAGTCACTGAGACGGGGGCTGTGATGCTCAAGGAGCTACTAGGTGGGTGGAGGCATTGGGCACTTCGAAGTTGTGAATCGGGGCTGACTACACATTTGCCAAGTATGAACAATTATGATCATGACACAAGAAAATGCCGTTGTACCTGTTGGGTGATGCATTGTACTGACAGTGGAGAGAATTAGCAAGATGGTAAGGGGTGAAGAATGGACAGTGGATGAGATCGACTAGTTTGCAAGGTCTTGACAGTGTGGAGGTGTTTTATTCATGGGCATGGATCGTTGTGCTTGTGGCATTCCTGTGTTGGTCCAGCTTCAGCTTTTTTGAATCCCTGTCATGTGTTGTCGTCAATTCAACACCGATTTGCAGCACCCTGCAATGATCCATGAACAAGCAATGAACTGTTTTGCTAACACATCTGTCCTGTAAATCCAATAGCCACTGTTCTGGCAGATATGGCAAGTATAGTTGCAGGTTGTGGGGTACCACCAGTCTGACGACCATTTGTGGACATGTGAATAGACAGTCACAGACACAGACATATGTGAGGCTGCCAGGCACTGTGATACGCTACCTATCAGTATAGTGCACTGCAATATGGTGCAGCACAGTGCTTGCAATGCTGTGCAGTGCAAACCCTATCTGCTGTTCAATGCAATGAAGTGCTGCACAGGTACCTTTCAAAAGGGTTGAGACCTTGCTGCCGTTGGGTGTATTTGGCAGGGGAACATGGGGAGCAGTTTGACAGCAACAGTCCTGTGAGCCTTTGGGAGAGCACCACGGGTGGCGACGTGTGGGGACCCTACCTTGTGAATGCCCTCAAGGTCGGCCAATCGACTGTGATGGCATGCTGACAGCGTTGCCGCTGCCTTGTCTACATTTTTGTATCGCTGTTGTCAAGCCTTGTCAAAGCATGCAATGGGGCAGTGCATTCTGATGGTTATTCTGCCTCAACTCACTGCCAAAATACTGCAAATGATCAACTCACAACAAAGTCTGTAGTGAAGTGGAAACAGAGCTTGCAGTGAAATGAACCCGAGTGAATGTCTCTGTGAAAGCTGTATTTGGGCCCTATCTTTGCAGCTGTCCGGCCGGGCATTCCCCCAGCTGTGAGCCAACAACGTGTTGACCGTGCCACACACAGGCGACAGAGTTCTTTCGGAGGGGCATTGAGTACATCGTGATGAATGGGGAGGTGGTCATCGTGGACGAGGCCACGGGCCGTCTGAGGGTGAAGTCTCGATGGGAGGATGGGATTCATCAAGCGGTGGAGGCCAAAGAAAGAGTCCTGCAGGCAGGGTTTTCCCATAAGACAGGCCAGACTGATTTGTGTCAATGTTCTTCCCATAAGACAGGCCAGGCTGATTTATGCCAGGGTTTTCCTTGCCTTGATAGGAGGTTGCAGGCTGGACACCATGGGCAGTCCAGAGACCCCCATGGTGCGGCTGGGGCTGCTCCACGTTTTCTAGGCACCATTGCATTTTTATTATTGCTCTGCGTAAAAAGGTCAAGAATTAAGTTGCAATACGGGAAGTTTATAATATGGTATAGTATACAAACGGCAGGACTTTCATTGTTCATGCACTGGCTTGCTGGAGTCTCCAATGCTTGATGTCTGCAACTTTGTTGCTGCTTGGGCTATTCAACATGCTACAAATCAAGGCTGTTGCACACCAGGGGTTCATGTGCTTGGCACTGGGGATTTCTGTGGAGAATTGATTGTTCCCTTTATGCCTTTGTTTCGTGCTCAATGCCCCCAAGGAGTGCCAGCGCAGCACATAGATGTTAGAAGGCACGAATGCAGAAAAGGCAAAATTTCTTGAAGTAGGCAGTAGAGAACAAGTGACAGAAAGGATGCATAGACAGGACACCGCTTCAGATTGTTATCGTGCTGAAGTCGTTGGGTTATGCAAGTAATTTTGCGGCATGTGAAGTGGCAGCATTGTTGTATGTGGTGTTCCAGACGATGTTCAGTTGCTTCTGGCTTGCCGATGGTGCTCAATGTACTTATGGGAATATGGCTGTTTCAGGATGTGGCAGAATATCACCCCATTGCTGACGTTGCCGACGTTCCTTGTAGTGCAATGTCTTTGTTACAGTTGAGAGTTCAGTTGCGATGCCGCTGTATTCATAGGCTGCACATTGCTGTGTCTAATAGGTGCAAGGGAAGTGTATTGTCACGACTTGACTAAAAGCAACCAATTCAGGTTTCAGGTTTCATTCAGGTTTCTGACAGTTGTGGCTTGTGGCTGGACGGGACAAAGGTCCAGGTTTCAGGTTTCATTCAGGTTTCTGACAGTTGTGGGTTGTGGCTGGACAGGACAAAGGTGTGGCTGGGGAGGGAGTCGTGGGCAATGAGACAGTGGAAGTGAAGCCTCAAAACTACACCATTGCCAGTGTCACATTCCAGGTTTTCTTCAAATATTACAAGAAGCTGGCAGGAATGTCGGTGGGTGATGAATGCCTGTTGCTCTGCCTGGTTGCAGTTGACTGCTTACTCACCATGGACTGGTCAGCTTCTGCCCTGTTGCATCAGGAAGGATGTCATGTTCGAGAGGACTAGCAGCCCGCGGGGCAGGAACGAAATGAAAACCAACAATGCAATTGTGGCAATTGTGATATCAATGCTATGGCTGGCGATGTTATGAGTTGAACCAGATGCTGGTTCTGATAAGGATCCAATCATGTTTGGCCAGTTGGATACAGTGAGGCCAAGTGCATGCAAACCACTGATGGATCTGTGCCATGTTTGCAGGGCACAGCAGTTAGCGAGCAGCAAGAGTTCTATGAGAACTACAATCTGACGGTGAGCAAATTGCGAGTACTGATCTGACTTGACAAGCTGTTCAGGAGCATTCGTGTGATCATAGGGGAACCAGAATCGCAGTCAGGGTATTGAGAACATCAATGCAGTTTATCATCCTGTTGTTATCAGAGTGGTTCACCCACAATGCACTCATTTTTAACAGCTGTTAGTGTTGATGGTAGAATGTGTGTCACTTCCATCTGCTAGGATTGACTTTGTTGCTGAATATGATGCCAAATAAACACAGTATCAGCAGCTGCTATTGCAATGTGGCATCTGCTGTCATGCCTGCACAAGATGCTGGCCCACCACTTTGCCTCCATCCAGCCCTGCAGCACAAATCAAACATTGCTGTGTTCACTTCAGCACCCATTCGAACTGTAGCAGAATTTGGCTTTATCATTTGTCGCATGTCAGCATTGCCATCAGTGAATGATGCCAATTGTACACAGTGCAAGTGGTTGGAGTGCTGAGCTACAAATGGGTGGAGAACGCACTGGCAGTCCAGGTGCATCTTTGCTCACCATCATTTTTGAGGCAGAAATGCACTGGTTCTCTGAAAAAATGTTTTCCAAAGATTTCAAAATGGAAATCTCTATTTGGTCTGCCTGCAGGTTGTCAAGATCCCCACACACCGCCCAAGGATCCGCATCGATAGGCCAAACATCGTCTACCTCAGTGAAGATGCAAAGATGCAGGCACTCATCATGGAACTCATGAATTGCCAAGGGGTGCGGTGAGAAACGGAACCACCACACCCACCTCCATTTCTTCTTTATGCATTATCTTGTCAGTTGCCTCTTGTATCGTTATATGCAATATAATAATATAACTATGCATATTGTGATAACATGTTGATATGATGATATGAATATTGATATAACGATATATATTATCTCGCTGATAATGGCATTTGTGCTTGCTGCTGCGTGGTTTGTTTCTCATGCTGTTGATTTCAAAACACTCAGTGTTGTTCTTTGTTGTTGTTGACTGCCCATGGACTGAAGCGGAGCATCGTGTTGTGTCAGAAGATGTGGGCTGTGATGCTGCATTTTTTCCTTTATCTCTTCGTGCCCAAAGAAGCAAGAAAAAGAATCATCATGGAATCTTCTTGCTTTGCAGCTGCAAATTTGATCAAGGCATTTGCCACGTTGCACCGACACCCTTGTCTTCATGACCACTACAGTGTTTCGCCATTGTACTCTCCTTGCCAGATTTGTTGCCCCATGTTCATCTGCTGTCGCACTGTGTCAGACAGTAAACATGTTATCATCATGGTGCTAACGACACTGTTTCTTTGCCCTTGTGTTGCACCCAGGCCCGTCCTCATCGGAACCAACTCCATACAAGAGTCTGAGAAAATTCTGGAGAAGTTGAAGATGGTGTGGACTCTTGGCAGGACGAACGAAGTGTTGTGGGATGGCGAAAAGCACTTTTCTGATGGGTGAGCCTCCAGCCCATGGAGCTATTGAAACCACCAGAGCAGCTTGGCTGGGAGGGAAAATGTGCAGCTGTGAGACAAGAGACATAGGCTCGATATTGTGACCCCACAGCACTGCACTAGTACACTCACTTGTTGATTGCTCAATGTCAGGGGAGTGGATCTGGGTACAAGACAGCCCTCACACTGCTACCCTGTTTCTGTTGCAATTCTGCCTTTCTCCACATCAGGAGTTTATCTTGTTCTGCAAGCATCAATCCTAAAAGTGTTGGCGTGGTGCATTGCCTTCTTCTTCGATTTTCTGTTGAGTCGAGGTAGTCAGCAGCCGAAATCATGCATTCAAGAGTCCATCTCGATGTCCTGCGATTAAATCTCTGCCATATTGGAAGTTCACCCAGACTATTGTACACAACAGCTCTATACTACACTGTGCTGTATATGTTGAGCACTGAACAACAATGCCCAGTGTAGTGTGGAGATGTGTTGTTTGTGCTCTCTTATCCTATTGTGTCTGGCAGGAAATTGGTGGTGTTGAATGCACGTCCGGAATTTGTGAAGGCAGAGTCCCAGATCGTTGCCCAGGCGGGCATCCCTGGGATGGTGACCATCGCAACAAACATGGCAGGGCGGGGCACGGACATCCTGCTTGGGGGCAACGCAAAGGGCCTGACAGAGAGCGCCCTGTACCGGTTGGTCTTCTCGCAGGTCATGGAAGGCAAGTATCACAATTGGACTTGTCATCGTTTGTTGTGAGTAGCAGCCCATTGTGTGCAAATACCTGCTTTTGTTTCTGATCTTGCCACCATATTTCCTTTCCACTCCTCTCCGAAGGTGGAAAGCATATCAGCAGGCTGCAAATGATCGTGAAATTGCAGAAATTGGGTGGCGGTAGCAAGTGCTTGGGTGTAGGCATTGTGAAGTTTGGTGCATCGTGTGATGGCAGTAACTGATCTCAAGTCCCTTGTTAATGAACACCTCCAGACTTCCGCCAGCAGGGGGGCGTCCCAAAATCCGATTACCTTGGGTCCATGAACACAGCAATCGTACATCAATTTGGTGCAGTCCTGCGGCAAATTGATGCATACACTTATCTGTCCGGTCAAGCGCTGCTAACAGTTGCTGATCTAAAATCACGTCTTCTCTCCAGATGGTGCCACCCTGGACGCCATCCCCATGATCCATTTCCCTCTTCTTTGGCACCCACGCAGTGCATTGACAAAATAAATGCAAACATATGGCAGTATTGCTGCTAGCGATCAACAATTTGGTTCTTGCTTTTGGATGCCTGTTTTGCCTTTTGCCCGATCCTTATCTCTGCTTCCCTCCAGATGTCGGTGCCCTCGATGGCATTCCCAAGATCCCATTGCCTGAGTTCCGTGACGATGGGAACATGATGTCTGGCCTGCCACCCTCACTGTACGGACATCTGCAGAAGGCCCTGCTCCGCTGCAGGGGGCCCTCCGAAGAGGCCATGGCCACCTTCAGCGACGTGGAGGCCATCATGGAGAGCGTGATGGATGTCACAGAGAAGCTGAAAATCCTGGCCACGCAGGCACTCAGGTGTGTGGCGGTTTTGCAAGAGTTCAGCATGTGTGGTGCATTTTGTTCGGGATATCTGGAGTGGCAAGACTGTTTCAGGCAACTGGATGGGGTTCTTGACAACCTGAACGGTATTGCTTGAGACAGCCAGATCGGCAGAGCAATTGTGCACTATTAGACATGCGATAAGTGCAATGTATACTGCATCAGACATGCAAGACTGAAGAACTGTGAGTTAAGAAACAAGAATGTTTTGGCACTGTCAGTCCTAGAAGTGCGATATTCTCAGGCAATGTCACAGTGAGTTGTTGCCACTGTGTTAATGACTCTTTGTTTGCCTTAGACCGAATGATGAACATGCAATGAGGCTCAGGGACCTGGACTTTGAGCAGGATATCCGACCTGTGGTTCGGAGCGTGCTGACAGCTGAAGAGAGCATGCTGGAAAAGGTAGGTTGTCAGGGGCGTTGCAGTCAAAGCTGTGCAGCCTGCATCACCTTCAATCCGCAGCTGGTCTTGACTTGTTCCGTGATGGGCGATGAACGGAATAGAGCACATTTGTGTACGAGGGGAGACGGATGTGGCTGTGAATTGATGTTATGCTGTACCTGTGTGCTCATATGTGCTTTATTCATGTGTCTCATCAGCTGAGGAATACGAATTGCTGTGTCCAGAATTCCGGCCCCCGCCAGGCGCTCATAGAGGCAGCCATCCACACTTGGCTGTGGTTCGAGCAGAAGTGTGAGCTCTACGGTGACATGGTGTGTGCTGGCAGCACTCAGTGTTGTCTCATTTGCGCCCTCTTTGTTCTTGCACAACTTCTACCCAGCCTTGCATTCTGCTGGACAGATTTCTTCCAATCTGGATATGTGGTTAGTTCCTGGTTCACTTTGGTAGGCAGGGATGCAGTTTAACAGCAGATCAATGGACATGTACTCAAGAATAGACTTGCGGTTAACAACTGAAAGACCAGTAAATCAGAGAGTTTTTGATAGAAGATGGGATATAACTTTATATATGTCTGAAGGCGGTGGTTGATGCATTTGTGTTAAAAGGGATTCAGCAGAAACTGTGTTATGAACGAGATTGCTGAGGTACACTTTGTACACTAAAATGCGTGATTTCTAAACCGATGAGAAATGAAGGCAGAATCGGACTATGTGAATCGTTGTTCTGGCAAGGCTACCACAATCACGATGAAGCCAGTGCAAAAATGGGAACAATTGCATGGCGAGCACAACAAGCCGAGAATGTAAACTGCCTCACAGTGCCTCATGGCTGCGATGGCAGTGATTTGCTAAGCTTGGAAAATGTGGACAAGGAGATTCTAGTTTGTTGAACAATTGATTGTTTGCCAAGATTCATGCTTGTGCAACTTTC